CAAGACTGTCCTAGCTATCAAACAATGCTTCCTTGATAATACACATCTTCTCCATTATAACCAAACTTCTGGAAAATTTTAAGTACACAAGTTAGTGCCTCCTTCTTCATCTACTCCATTCTCAGTCCACTCTCATTTGAGTTCTGTATCACCATCAGCCTATCAAAACACATCCTGCCACAATACCGAAAGATCTTCCTGTTCTTGTACCAAATTACATTGGTTAGCCCTGTGGTTTGACTTTGGCACTGTGGCCCAGAGCTTCCCTCTTGATTGTTTCTTTTGATTCTTTCTTTTCCCCTTCCAGGAACACTGAATCCAGTTGTGCAGTTTGTGTTGCACAGAGACAACTTGGCTGTGGGGTAGCTGGCAGGTAGCCACAGCTGGGCTGCCCAGTATCTTGGAGTGGAGCTGAATGTTTCTGGAGAAGCATGGTGCCTACTTCTTCCTGCAAAGCCATCGTCTTCTGGAAGAACTCTGCATCTGGAGGGGGAATCTCTGCCAGAGAATATGCCTTTTTGAAACATGGAAGCAGTCTTTCTAGTTCTCATAAAGGCCAGCAGTGCCCTTGTCCTCCCCTTCTTTCCTCCTGTGTTATACTTGGGTTTCTTTCCCCCATCCTCTCTGTTTATTGATAGGCAATGACTATAGTACCTGGCATTGGGTGACCTTCTGCATCCATTTTGGTCCTTTCCAACCCATTTTCCAAGGTACAGTTAAATTAATCTTTTCAAATCACAAACATGAATCTAACACCTCTTGCTTATGCCATTCAAGAGTTCCCACTACTTTCGGACAGGAAACAACATGGCCTGCCAGCCTGACTAACCTGGCTCTGTCTTGTTCTCTTCCACAGGGGCCTTTCTCCTTCTCTCTCTGTCCCTCCAATGTGTATTGTGATTTATGTTATAGAATATTTATATACACTGCTTCTCACTACACCACACCTGCAATGTTTCTTAATATTTTATTTATTATTTTATGTGTATGAGTGTACTGCATGCATGTATGTAAGTCATCCATGTCATGCAACACCCATGGAGGTCAGAAGAGGGCATTGTATTCCCCTGGAACTGGAGTTATGGACTGTTGTTAGCTGCCATGTGAGTGCTGGGAATCAAACCTGGGTCCTCTGTAAGTGCAACCAGTGTTCTGAACCATGGAGCCAATTCTCCAGCCTCACACCTGCAATGTTGGATACCTCTTCCTGGTCTGGAATAAATTTTTATTTAAATGTATTCATACATGTTAATGTTTTTTCTTTTAGAGCATTTATCCAAGGTCACAGTTGGACATTTACAAATCATTTAATATTTCTCTGTTTGTAATATATGAGAAATAACATCTATTTGTGGAATTATCGTGATGGCCAAATACTTATAATTAAATTATATGTGTATACATACATGAATAAATATACATATATTTGTATGTGTGTGGTATGCACATATAAGCAGGTGTGTATGCCTGTTGATACCCATGCAGAGGCTGAAAGAGGACAGTGGGTGTCCTGCTGTACCTCTCTTCACCTTATTCCTTTAAGACAGGGCCTCTTGCTGAGCCTCACTGTTGTCCAGTTAGTCTGGTTGGCCAGGGAACCCCAACCATCTTCTTGTTTCTGTCCCCCATCTCCCAGCTCTGGGGTTACAGGTACAGGTAGACACACCTGGCTTTTTACATGAGTGCTGTGGATCTGAACTTGATCTTCATGTTTGCACAGTAAGTGCTCTTACTCACTGAGCCATCTCCCCATCTCCAAATAAATATAGTTTTAAATAACCAGAGTTCCTATCAAAAAATATTTTAAATTCAAAATACCAGTGATAACTGGGAGAATATATTTATTATACTTAACTACAGATAAAGCTCTAAAACCGGTCATGGTGGCGCACACCTTTAATCCCAGCACTCAGAGGCAGAGGCAGGCTAATCTCCATGAGTTCAAGGCCAACCTGGTCTACATAGCAAGTTCCAGGTTAGCTGGGGCTACAGGGAGATCCTGTCTCAAAAAGTCACCCCCCAAAAAGCTCTAGTATTTCTAATATGCTAAGATCTTATAAAAGGAAATTCTTTTGAGGAATGAGCAAAAGACAGGAATAGATAATTCATAAAAACAATTGAAATGTCCCTTAAACATAGGGAACAATATTCAACTTCACTTATAATAGAAATGCAAATTAAACCTCACTGAGATACTATTCTTACCAGGTTGCAAATTTCACAAGCAGAACAATAGGAACTTAGAAAGACCCCTTCATACACTGCTGACAGAAAAGTAAAATGACATAAGCCCTAACACACAGACACATCCAACTTTTGGACATTGACATATGACGTTGTCATCTACAAAGTACGTGCTCAAGAACTGGACAATCATGTAACAAAAATAATCGCAAAACTGATCTCATAATGTTTTAAGTAAGTTTATGATTTTGTGTGGCGTTGCATTCATAGCTATCCTCAGCCCCCCGTGGCTGCATGCTGCCTGCAGACCAGGCTACAGTGGACATACCTGCAAGGAGAGGACTATGACACTAGTTTTTAAAAACTATATATGTGGTGCTAAAGACATGGCTCACTTGCAGAAGACCTGCGTTTGGTTCCCAGCACCCACATGGTGGCTCACAACCATCTCTAACTCCAGTTCCAGGGGACCCAATGCCCTCTTCTGGCCTCCAAAGGCACCAAGACATGCATGTGATACACATACATATATGCAAGCAAACACTCTTACATGTAAAGTAAAAAATAAAATTTTAAAAGCTATAATGCAATTAATTACAGCATCATTTGTAAATGTGAAACACTAGCAATCACATAAATGTCCAAACATGGGTGATTATCTGAACACTTTGCGGTACATGCACACAATGGGATGTGACATGATGAGCCAGGCAGCTATAAAACAACAACAAGGAAGATCTCTGTGAGGCAATATGTGACTCGATCTCTACCATAATGAAAGACATTGATTTCCTAAAAGCATAGAGAGCATCTCTGATGCCTCCTGTGTCTCAGCTTTGCAAAAAAGAAGCACAGGGAGAATAAACCATTGAATCTTAACGTTTACCCATAGAGGATTGGGCAAGACAGGAGGGAGGAAAAGGGGGCACTTTGGAGTCTGTGCATACTTTCCACTTTTTGGATCGTGTTATTAGTCTACAAATTCAAAAAATAAAAGTAGGGGACCGGAGATATGGCTCACCAGAAGATTGGAGTTGGGTTCCCAGCACCCACATCAGGTGGCTCACAACCACCTGTAACTCCAGCTCCAAGGGAACTGATGTCCTCTTCTGACCTCTTTGGGCACACTCACACACGAGGCATACTGACACACACATACATATAAATAAAAATGAAAAATAAAATCTTCCTTACAAAAAAAAATAGTAAGCCCCCAAAGATAGGAGGAGAGGTAGGCAGGGACTAAAAGTCAAAGTATTTGACCTAGAAATAAGAGCAGGGCCTGGCTCACAAAGCTGTTGTAGTGATATGTTAAACACAGATAAAGTGCTCAGAACACTACCTAGAATGGATAAATATCATCACATTAAGGTTGAGAGTATCGCTATTATTTCATAATTATTTTAGGTGCCTAGGTGCTACCCCAAGAAATAATTAGTAATCCATCTGTCTACAATGATACTACTCAAAGTTTGGCTAACAGTCCTGATGCATGAGCCAAGGGGTTGTTAGAAATGCCCAGCCCAGGCCCCACTCCAGACCTACAGAATCCGAATTAGTATTTTTAACTAGGTCCACAGGTGATGCATATGTACATTATAGTTTAAGAAATATTAAACTATGGGCCATATATGTGACAAGGTAATCTCAAAAATGACAAAAGTCAAGTTTCAAACAACTGACAGCAAGAATGAATGTCACAATAGCCCAACGTCTCATTAGAAAACTTCTCTCTAAGGACTTGTTCCGAGGTAGCCTAAAGCCTTTAAAAAATTGTTTTATTCCACGTGCCATATTCTAGCAGCTCCCGAAAGCAGGGCGCGCATCACCCTGATGTCCTTGAGCAGAGCGCCCTCGTGTGTAACAGAGGAATTTGCAGCCCTTCCTCTGGTAAAGGACTCAGCAGTTCACTGCCGCGTGGCAGGCTGGGTGGCCTGGTCAGCCTCACAGCTGTCTCCAGGCGCGCTTTTCAGCTTTAAACTAGGCTGCCAAACAGTTGGCTCATCACAAGTTAGTATTGTGTGCGCACGCAGAAGTGCACAAAGCAGGAAAAAAATGATGACCCGACCATAATCTTTGCTAAATCATAAGGCCGCCGCTCCCCTTGAATGCTGTCACGCTCTGAAATCCTAGCTGCTGGAAACCAGGTTTCCATCCTTCCTCCCCTCTTCCCTTTCTCTTTCCTTCCTCCCTTCCTCCTTTTTATCCTCTTTCTTCCTTCTATTCATATTTCTTTGTCCTAAGTAGCATGTTAATGTACTTCAAAAACAGACGCTGGCTTGTCAATTCGAATTGCAGTGCCTGCAGAATAACCTAACTTGTGGTACCCTTTTGAACAAGAGTCAGTATTTGCAAGTGAAGTGTTCATCATCTAAGGCAGCTCCTCAAAGTCAAAAGGAGGGGGAGGGGGAGGAAATATCAAATTGTTATTCACCATTCCCTAAAATTTAGGACGGTCCTATGCCTGTGTATTCATAATGCTTGTATTTTAGGACATACGTAGTTTTCATTTAAATAGTAATAAGCCACGTTTTCTACTTGAATGCTATCTCCATTACTGTGATTTCCTTATCCTCGGGGCCTCCACACAGTGACACGAATCTCATCCTGAAAAATTCCGGGCAGTTGAGGGATGAAAGCGGTTGTCACCTCAGTAGCTTCTGAGCGCTTGTCCACCCAGGTTTAAGTTTCTCACAGCACCTTAGAAAGTTCTAGGCGCTCGCGAGGAGACCTGTGGAGAGCAGGGAAGCGCTGGTCCCCTGCTGCGGGGCGGGGCGGGCTTGGGTTACGGGTCTGCAGCCTGCCCGGGCGCCAGCTCCTCTTCCGAGAGCGGTATTAGGGCAGCGGCGCGGCGTCCACGCGGCAGCCGCGGCTCGGCCCAGCGCAGCCCCGGGCAGCGCCGGCCGGTGAGTATCCGCGTGTGGCAAGGATCGGGGTTATCTGCAGGGGCCTCGGCCCACCCGACCGGGGGCGTCTCTCTCTTTCTCCTCGGCTCAAGGACATCTGACTGGTCCCCAAGTCCTGCAGGGTAAAGTCTCAAGAAGCGCCTTCCTCTGCAAACCTCTTTCCTCTCGCAGCCGCTTCGGGGATGCCCTGACTGGAGGATGCTTCGGGTTCTCACACAGCCCTCTTCTATGTAAACTTTGGTTTTCATCTTTTCCGTGCACCCTGCGCTTTGTGTCGCGCTTTCCTCGCTAAGACCAGCATGCAGGGCCCTTTAGCTCTAACCAGTTGCCATCCATATAGAACTTAACAAAGCCCCTCAGTAATTTCTTCAGTCTCCTCTCTGGAGACCAGCCGCCTCCATTTAAGTCAGGGTGAGCTCTGCTGGCATCTGTCTGTTCCCAGTGTGGGCCCTTCTGCTCAACATCCGATGTAGCGTGAACCACTCTGGCTTCGACTTTCCAGTTAGTGAAGGGGCCACTATGAACTTTCCTGCCCCAAAGTGGGTTTGGTAGCCTGCTCAAATACCCTTTGCGCACAGATAGATGGCAGGTGCTCTGCTGTAAAGTGGCTTTATCGTATTTGTAGTTGGTAAGGGCACTTGCTCTGCCGGGGACACAAGCTGGGCATTCTGGGTGAATCTGAAGCATACTGAGATAGCAAAACTGCCAGGATCTGCTGGCTGTGGTCAGGCATGGTGTGGGGTGGGGAAGGTGCTGGCGGTGGAGTGGGGAGTCTTGTGGTACCACTCTGAGATCTAGAACTTTCTAATAATAATAATAACAATAAATAGTGTAGACTCAATAACAGCAAAAGTAATAATAATTAAATCATAAAGTAACTTTGGGGGAACTGAGATTCAGAATTCTCCTGTCCAAAATCTGGGAAAAATATGCATTGGATATTAATGTATTATCTACTAGGAGTATCCAACATTTTGACATTTCGACACGACACTGTCATCTGCAAATGTGTTGGGCCTCATTCACAGTCATCCTGGGAGCATGTGGGCCCAAAGGTTGAACAGCCTGCAAGCTGAGGGACTGGCAGAGTACAAATGGAGGGGAAACTGAAATATGCAACAGGAAGTTAAACTGCCTAAGGTAACACTGGAATTTGTGGAGGAAGGAGTGGTGCTAGCCATCAAACTCAGGACTTTGCTTGTGCATCCTCCATCCTGAGCCACAGCCTCAGCAGAAGCACGCTTCTGCAAGCCTGTCCTAATTACAGGAACACAGGATTGCCTTCTGCCAGAAAACTTTTTAGCAAATGGAAGTCAAACTAATTTGCATCAGGAAGAAACTTAGGGTAAAGAATTCCTGGGTTAGGTTGCTCTGGCTAATATCTTAAGTGCACTGTTGGAAAGCTTTCTAGTCTATTAAGTAACCGGGAGCCCCAATTCTCTCTTTTTTTCTCTCTTTAACTACTCTGAAACTATACAGAGTTACACGCTCCTCATTAATTTATGAGTGATACCAAAAGAATTGACTTAATCCAAGTATTTGAATGTCTTCTGTATGTAGGTGCTTTGCTAAGAACTGAAGAATGGAGATTGGGGAACTTTCTAATTAAAACAATCTTGAGCTGACCCGGAAGGTGTGGATGCAAGTTGGGCTGACTCGGAAGGTGTGGATGCAAGTTTGCACTGCCCATTTCATTGACAATCCAAATCAGTTATGTTTTCAGCCCACTGGCCATGCCTTGTGTGTATGCTATCTAGCACATTTTGTGCTTTTTTAAAGGTTTGCAGGTACTCTGCACTTTAGTGATTCCAAAGTAAGCAGTTTTCTAGGAAATAAGAAGTTTGCCCATTTCTCCTGGTATTTGTGTTGTCATTTATACAGTTAAAATCAGTGAGAAGAGTAAGAAAATGATGCTTTTCTTTTGCTTTGTTTTCCAACTAGTAAATTCTTACATCAGTCACCATGAATAATGCAATCTTCCAAGTGTGAGACCCACACTATCTTTTATATACGTCCATCCTTTTGTAGCATAAGCCCAATTTAATTAACTATTTTTTTATTATTATTTTACAAAGTCTCATTTAACCCAGGCTGACCTCCAACTGGCTATGTAGCCAAGGATTACCTGCCTACACCTCCCAAGTGCTGGGATGACAGGAGTACACATGCCCAGTCTGTGCAGTTCTGGAGCTGGAGCCCAGAGCTTCTTGCACACTAGGCAAGCACTCTACCAACTGAGCTATGGCCTCAGCCCTTTTGACATCCTTTAGGCTTTCTTTTGGAGTATAGTTCCCAAGGAGCAGATATAAAATTTTTCATTGTAGGCACTAACAATCACCAGGATCACCCTTGAAAACCAATGGTGACAGGTCTTTTTCAAAATCTGGCAATGCTTAGGATTTTGTCTCTAGGAAAAATGTACAAGCATTCAAAATGTTGCATACCTTCCACAAGATTCCTGGTGCTCAAATTATGGAACAGCAAAATAGAGGGCAGATAGATGTTGAAAAATAGACATGAAGCCATGATGTGGATAAAATTCACAAACTGAGTGGATATAAGTAAATGTACTTTCAAGTGGAATAATCTGACCTCTTGGATAAGCCTTCTATGAATGGGACACATCAAATGTATTGTGAACTAAAGGCAAGATTGGTCCTGTTAATTTTGTAATTGAGCAAGATCACCTTTTGGCTTAATCTCTCTTTCTTTCTCTCTCTGTCTCTCCCTTTCCCTCTCCTTCTCCCTCTCTCTCTCTCCCTCCTTCCTTCCCTCCCTCCATCTCCTGTAGCCAACACTATCCTGAAATTCACTATGTAACTGAGACCCACCCCTGATCCTCTTACCTTCACCTCCCAAGTGTTAGGATTCCAGGTATACACTACCACAACCAGATCTCTCATTTTTCTATTTTTCTTGTTCTCCTCAAGAGAACAAGAAAAAAATTAATCCTAGTACTAATGCCCCATTTGAAGGAACAGTTTCTCATGTACAGTTCTGCCCCCATCAGTATGAGAATGGCTGAGTTCAACACTTGAACTTAGGTTGATAACTCAAGTCTACAGTCTTAGCTACTCTGGAGGCTGAGGCAAAAGGATGGCAAATTTGAGGCCAGTCTGTACAATTTAGGGACACCCTGTCTCAAAATAAAAATAGACAGGGGACTAGGGATGTAGTTGAGTGGTAAAGGTGAAGCTCTGGATTTACTTCATAATACCACAAGAAGAAAGAGAGAGAGAGAGAGAGAGAGAGAGAGAGAGAGAGAGAGAGACTGGATAGCTTTAGTGTCAGCTTGATACACCTGGGTTGAGGGAGCCTCAACTGAGGAATTGTCTCCATTGGACTGCCTGTGGCCATGTCTGTGGGGCATTTTCTTGATTACTGAGTGATATGGGAGGGCCCAACCCACTATGGGTGGTGCCACCCCTGGGCAGGTGGGCCTATGTTGTATAAGAAAACAGGTTGGCAGGAATGAAAGAAAGAACTTTGTCTCTCATATACTTCAGCAGTTTACCTTCAGGAAAAAAAATTGTTCATTTTTATATTATGTTAGTACTATATTCCATATACACCACTGTGGTAGCAGTAAGTGTCTTGGGAAGGAACGAGTTAGTGTTATGAATGGATAGGGACAGCAAGCTGTCTCAGAGAATAAAGGCCTTTGCCACTAAGACTGACAACCTAAGTTTGATCCCCAGAACCCACTTGGTGAAAGGAGAGAACTGACTTCCACAAGTTGCCCTCTCTCCTCCAAGTACATACCATGGCATGTGCATACAGAGAGAGAGAGAGAGAGAGAGAGAGAGAGAGAGAGAGAGAGAGAGAGAGAGAGTAATCCAGTGGCAGAGTAAAAAAGCATAAATTATTCTGCCATTCACACCATGAAAGACTATTGTAAAAAAGTAACTCCTAAAAGCCAACAAAAACATCCTAAGCCTTTTGGGAACATACAAATG